AAAAATTTTTAAGCAGTTCATCTGATGCAATTTACAATGTTGATCACGGATATGATATCAGATTTGGTGTTGACGCTGTTTTATTAGACGGATTGTCATTACCCTTTTGAACTTAAAAGAAACATGAATATTCTTCGAGTAACTTTAGATTGTTGTACACCATATGTCTCAGAATCTCACTATTGGGCAGCACGTGGTTCCAGTTGTTTATCCGTATAAGATTCATTAGAACTCGAAAGAGTGTTTTCAGATGAAAACGTTTGTGTGCTATCTATTTTTATGAAGTTCAACAACAGCCTAAATTCAAATTGCATCAAATTATAGTCTAAATCATTCTGTTTTTGACGAAAACAGACAGCAAAACGTTTTTTTCTCCTCTGACAATAGTACTGAAAAAATTCTTCCAGTGTAACCATCTTATGCGCATAAGTATTTTGAAAGCCCCTTTTTTGGACGGTTGAAAACTCGAAGTCAATAAGTTTTTTCATACAGAGTTATTCAAAAATGCGCCTACTTTCTACTCCTACCTTTTTTTGTAATAGAACATAAAAGTAACAGATTATATATGTTATTTTGGCAAATGAGAAGTATAGCAGAACTGTTACAGCAAATGACTAGATGGGTCCCTGTGAGCGTTGTATGACTCTGAGATTTCTGAAGAGATTTTTCAAATGCTTTATCATTTTCTAGCGGAGAAAATAATCGTAAATATGTCACAAACTCGATACGTATCAATAAACAATGTGAACAATGATGAGATGTTAGTCTTGTAAAGCAATTAACTTAATTTCAATATAGGATTCGACCAAATGCGAAATGTAAGGCATACAGTTTACGTTCGTTTGACCAATGCAGCTCGCTACAATTCTTCTGTCTAACAATACAAGCATTAAGAGACTAATCGAACTAAAGCGAAGTGACACATGTGAGGTGGACGCTTGCTTCTCTGTAATATCATTATCTTAACACTTTTCATCGAACCAATTCTATGTGGCTATAATGTAACGACCGATTAGATCTTAGATATTGTACTGATTGCCATTTCGATTCTTTATTTGTGTCTTGCCTGTTACAATCGGCACATCCATCGAATAAATGATTTTCTCATTCATGAACTCATGATCCAAGTGGTAGATCAATGTATGCCAGGCTTATATTGAAAATCAAGAAATTATTGCAGTGAATGACGGATGTTGCAACAGCAAAATCATGATCTCAATGAAATTGACATCATGCTTTATAATAGAACATATGCAATGGGATACGCAAGTTTCTCTCATAACAGCTTTCTGCATTTGTTCTCTTCTTGAGAACTTTTGCTTTTAATCAATTTTGGAAATCTTCAAAATATACTGAATTGAAATTGTATTGTTTGGATTGAATTTATCTTCCATCTTTAATTGATACTATTTATTTCATTTTGATGTTTTGATAAATGAAATTTTTCTGCTACCTTTTTGTGCTGCATACACTCCATTTATCTAGATGATGATAAACTACTTCTACAGACAACGTAAGAGTCAGTCCATATCAGCCACGATCGATTGTGCTCAAGCGACGATCTCAGATTTTCCTCAATTTAAGATATGCGATAAAGATAAATGCTTTATAACTTTTGACACGAATCATTTTCGAAGATGTGGACGAATGGAAGATCTCTTTCCTATCCACACCTTACATCTACATTCTTTTTGAATGACACAGCTGAAAATGGTATCTAAATAATGATCAGTAAAGTTTTGTACGGAGCAAAATAGCAAAGAAATAATCACTACTAAAATATATACAATGTAAATATTGAAAGAAAAGCGAGAGGGATAATAAGAATCAATTTCTTTATTCCTCTAATCTGCTCTTTGCCGGGTGAAATTTTGAAAAAACAGTTTTTTTTTGAAACTCAAAACGGAATGCTCTATAAACGAGATAGATCAAAAAAATATTTGACGGAAAAGTCTTCGGTATGGAAAACTGGTTATCCAGTATCAACATCGTCGATTACTTTATATCCGCTAGGTTTTACCTAAAAAGTGACTGAACAATTAGTGACTTTCTCTCATAAAACTAATGAATCAATGCCAATGAATGATATAAAAAGAACTCAGTCTATTTGTGTGACATGCTATCTACTTCTAATTAGATTTTTTTTTTAGTCTACAACTTTATTTATTATAATCCTATTAGATCTTATTTATCTTTTTCAAAACAAAAGTCAATAGAAAATCAATAGAAAGCTAAATCTATGAAAATAGTTTAGATGAGTATTTTCTGTTTCATCATTTACCCATGAGAACATAGTTACTTTTTCGTAATAAAATAATTTATGTTACAATTCTTTGTGTTTCAAAGAAAAAAAGAAACATATTTTGAAAAAATTCTGACTTGAAAATTAGCTTCAATATTCTCGTCAGAAGAAAGAAAACGTTACTCTTTTTCTCTTACTCATAATTTTTTTTTTTTTGTAATTTATCGAGCAAAAAAAAATGAAAAGAATGCACTAAAATGGAATTATATTCTGCTAGTTATCGAAGGTTTCCGTGGAGAATTTTCTTTTTCTTCATCAAGTTGTCGGAAACGTTCGTGCTTCTTTTACTATTTCTTACTACTCCTATCAGACATCTTGTTTTCTGCGTAAGCAAAAAAAAATTAACAATATGAATAAAGAAGAAATCAAACAAGTAAGTTTAATATTCTATTTTTATTATTTTGTTTAAAAACAAAATATCTCTTCAGTTATTTAAACAATTTGATAATGGTAATGGTCATTTATCGTTAGCTGAAATCGATCGAGCTATTATTCATTTTTATCCACAATTTGGTACTAATAAGAAAGCAATTATGCGAGCATATAAGGCAGCTGATACTAGTAGTGTATGATAAGAAAAACAAAACAAAATTCATTAGATAAATTTTCAATTTTTTTTTTTTTTTACTTTTCTTAGAATGGTTTTGTTGAATTAAGAGAATTTGAAAAAATTGTTCAATTACTCGAACAATATGATCAAATAAGCAAAGTATTTGAAGAATTAGATACAAATGATGATCATCGTATTGGTTTTAATGAATTTAAAAAAGGTTTTCAATTATTAGGTGAAGATGATTCGGATGAAGATAGTTTAAAACAAGAATTTGATGCTATTGATTCAAATGATGGTGATTATATTCTATTCGATGAAGTAAGAACTTTGAAAAACAAAATTAAACATTAATTAATTCAATGTTGTCATTTTTCTATTTTTAGTTTTGTATGTACATGGCCAATAAAAAAGTACGATAATGCAAATTCAAAACTAATGAACATTTAAATTTAATGTTGTATTGTATTTAAAAATAGAATGTCTTAATTATTGTCATTAATCAATAAAAAAAAAATTCTTTGCGTGTCTTACTTTCTATGAAAAATATCTAAGATTTTCTTTATTAGTCTACTTTTATTTGACCGATTTTCAACACGATATTGAACGAAAAACAAAAGAGACATTTTCATTAGAAATAAAATATAACAAGGTATTATGACTATATAACAAAGCTATTCAGAAATGTCAAGATCGAGTTTTTAGACTTATCCGTTCATTTGTGAATGTGGATTAGGAAAAGAACAACACGCACACCCTCGAAGATTCAATGAATAGAACTAAATAAAAGTGCATCAAATGACATGTTTTTGTAACATTCGATATTGTAATGACAAACATTACATTCTAATGTACTAGAGATACCTAGTTTCATGATTGGCAAACAGTAAGAGTTAAAAACCCAATACAATTCATTGCTTGAGGTATCTGAGACCCCCGTTTTATGTCAGTACTTGCATTTGAATCTCCATGGGTTGGATTCAAATAATACACCAGATGATAAGCATACTTTTGGACTTGACACAGTGATTTATCGGAATATTTGATAATTATATGTCAGTTTTGCTGAGAGCGACGCTACTTCTTCACGGTGATCCTCACTATCACTTGATCAGTCTTAATCTCTTGAGAACTGAAAGAAAATCACTATCTCAAATTATCTTGAGGGTGAAGATGAGGGTAAAGAAATGATAGCACAGGAGATCTGAAATCCTTCTTATCTTGTAAAGTAGTTAACATTTTATCAGGGTAATTTATTGATCTACTTAGAAACATTCAAAAATCTGAAAATGTTCATATCTTTCATTTAAAAAACAACTGTAACTTGATTTAGGAAAAAAAATAGTTATTCACCAACTCGCTCAGTCCCTACGAAAACGACTCTGTCTTTTCATATACTTCAGTGGGAAAATAAAAATCATATAGTTTTTTCTAAGTCACAACGATGTAGACAGATGACAGAACGACGCAAGAGTGATTCGTAGTAAATGATTGATCGAATCACTACAATTTTTCTGATTCATCATGATGAGAAAACTAATTCTACAAAATATTTATGAATTTGACGGTACTTACATTTTTGTAACAATAATAAATAGAAAGCTGAAATTCTAACATAGAATGGATCTCCATGCCTAGTGTCTGTGTAATGTGAATATCAGTTTCGATGAACATAGAAAAGTGTGAGAAAAGATTACTGTACGAAAGGATCAAAACTTATTTTACATTCTTTATGTACCAAGAGTAAATCTAATTGAACTACGAACACAAACAATGAAAATAAATCTAATCTAAATTAATTTGATTTCATCCCAAATAAGTTCTTACTCAAAATCATCTAAAAAGATTGTGATACGATCAGAATTTCTCTATTTAGTAATACAAACATTAATTGTGTACCATAAAATAAAAAGAGAATTAGATTCAAAACGTTCTTCTTCAGTTTGAATTAGAAAAATAACAATTCTGTTTGTTGAAATCAAACATCAATAAAAATATTTAATTCTGATTCATTTGTAATATACAATCAAACATTAGATCTGTGGCAAACTTTCAGATGACTTCAGAATCTGAATCGAGTGATCAATAAATGAAAGAAGTAACATACTTTGAAAAAGCATTCAGATTTGTTTATCTGAGATGTAAATAAATTAATATCAAAGAACTCTTTATGTAAACTATTATATGTTGTTTGATGGATTTAATGTTCGGATTTTTCGTATGACAAATGTTGATTATGCAGTGACATATATACTTATCTTCATAGTTAGTCAGTGTGTACGAACAGTTTCAGTAACTTTACGAAACTGTCTTCAGATAACACTATATATCACTAGACAATCGAAAACTAGGCAACAATCAAGTAATCCGTTGTTAAATTTACATTAATCAGTAGTGAAGCATGAAAATTTTCTGTGATAGGATTTTAAAAAATCAACAAACAAAATTTCAGCAGAAACTTTTTACGAAAGGATGTGTTTTAAGTTGAATAATGACTTGAAAATTGCTCAATCTTCATTTTTAGCTTCGACTCAGACAACATCGTTGTCGTTGACGTAGGTGAGTCTGTTGTCTATGAAAAAGTCGTCTTTTAAATCGTTGAATAAAGCAATAGATTTCATTTCGAAATGCTTTACCCGATAAACAATATATGTAAAAGTTTAAAGAACAATTCATTAAAATTGCTAATAAAACCCACCATGCTTCATGTGCTTCGACGGCAATAAAATGTCCAACAATATGTGCCAAAAGTGATGAAAGAAAAAGAATAGAATGAAGAACTAAAACAATATTCATCCATAATTTTGTTCGCCA